ATACCAATTTTGAATGGAATCTGACCATAATTACAAAACTCGTCCACCATATTGGATCCGCCATCTTGCATTTCCAGAATTTGACGAAAGAATCATAATCTCCGACCCCGAAGACCACGACCAAATACCAATTTTGAATGAAATCGGATAACAATACTTGTCCGTCATATTGGATCCGCCATCTTGAATTTTCGAGTTGAAACATAGATTACGACCGATTCTCATGTCTACCGAATACGCACAAAAAGTTTCATACGAATCGGTCGAGCCGTTTCGGAGGAGCTCGACCGTGACCGGGACAAGAATTGTTGTAATGCAGTTTGCCAAATGCATAAGGTTGAAGTCCACTCGTTAGTGAGTGGGGGTGGATTCGGCACTAGAGCTTAGCCATAGCACCAGTGCGAGAATATTGCGCCTGGTGCGCAGGTCGCATAAATGACTTCATCATACTTCGTCTCGTAAGCAACTGGTTGGCTCAGTAAGCAGAGCATCGGCATGCCAAGCCGGCGGGCCGGGGTTCGAATCCGTGCGAGGCTCATCTTTTTTTTATTTTTTTCTTGTTCTCAAGTGATTTCTAAAAAATATTCTCTATGGGAAATAGGTTCATTTAGGGGTTTTCTATGTTTAGGCCAGAGGTGAGGTTCGGTTAGGTTAGGTTAGAATAGAATAGAATATTTTATTTGGTGTTAATAAACATCAAGTTTTACACAAACATGTCAACGAAACAAGTACAGATATACTCATAAAATAGATAGGTTAGGTTTTCTCATTTTTTATGCAGGAACAATATTTTCCTTCCTCAAGAAAAATTCTCCTTCTAGAATATTTTATTTGGTGTTAATAAACATCAAGTTTTACACAGGTCAACGAAACAAGTACAGATATACTCATAAAATAGACAGGTTAGGTTTTCTCATTTTTTATGCAGAAACAATATTTTCCTTCCTCAAGAAAAATTCTCCTTCTTCAAGAAAAAAGTATGATGAAGTCATTCATGCGACCTGCGCACCAGGCGCAATATTCTCGCACTGGTGCTATGGCTAGGCTCTAGTCAATTTCTCGCGCCCAGCGACCTGCGCACCAGGCGCAATATTCTCGCACTGGTGCTATGGCTAAGCTCTAGTGGACATGGGGATGAGGAGCTTTCATATAACGTGAGCTAGTTATATGGCGGCACTTGATCCTGGGCATTCAACCTCTCGGGGGGCGTGGTGTGTGTGTGTGTGTGTGTGATTTCTCCACTTATATCGACATGTGAAATACGGTAAGAAGGTAGGAGTTTCGATATCTCTCTGGACCTTGATATAAAAAATAATATTGATTGAATATCAGAATTTCGAAATAATGATATAATAAATAATAATATTAAATATTATTGGTGTAATTTTATTATTCAATATCAAACAATACATTGAAAAATCGAACTTTCTATTATATACCAAATATTTGATGATCCTATCTACTTATGTTTTATCATATCTACGATTATCATTCATATCCAGAGATTCGAAGCAATTTCCATTTCCTACCTTCTCTTCCTTTCTACCCCATGCACGTGCGCTGTTCCTTGAAAATAATAGGGATTCCTTTCGAGCCTTCCGAAAGATAAAAAGTATTTCAAGAAGACCACCCCTGTAAAGTATTCTTCACTTGCCGTAATAGTGCCTCAGTGCCTATACAATAATCACACATTACTTCAAGCATCATAGCATAATATATATCTACTAACTAACTGGTCGCTCGATCGGTGTCATCCGAGATAAAGAAACAAAGCCCATGAAGAAGTAAATACAGGTTCGTGGAAATAATGCGCTTCTGATTTGAACCCAAAATGGAAGGAGCACCCGAAAGTTCGACACTCAATCAAATCGAATTTAATTTTGGATTATATTAGATTGAAAACTCATTTGCATAATTTTAATAATGTGGAAATAATATTGTATCAGAGCGCTACTAATATTTGAAGTGACACCTGTTGAAAATCTTTATAATAGTAACATCGCCAACGAGAAGAAACAAGACAATTCTACATCGGTTTCTCGTGTCTGGATTCTTATTGATTTTTATGACGGTTTGTGAACCGTAGCGACATCTCTTTGAGATGCCAGGCGAGAGTAGTACGACGTTCGTCTTAAGTAACGTAAAGAAGACACAAAATGTTTATGTTCTTGTTGTTATCAATGAACAAAACACCAAGTATGTGCTATATCATTGTATTCCATGTATTCCAAATTGATTGACACGCAATTTTCAGAGAAAATAATGCTATTTGAAAATAAATACTGATTAGTATATACCATCAGGGGGCTGTCAAATATATCCCTTTCTTCATTGGCCATAAGCAAGGGTATTTTATGTCATCCAATGCAGTTTTTTTTTATGTTTCTGATATCTTGACGAATAGGCAAGATATTGCCTGTATTCGATAACTTAGGACACAGAGTATTTGAATCATAAAGGCAATTGAAAAAAACAACTCAATATTTCTGTCAGAATATTCATTAATCATTCAGGTTATGTGTGTGATTACTTTAGGAGCTCGCAATGGAAAATGCTCGATCTTGTTACGTCCAGGATATCCATGGGTGCTCGCAGAAAAAAATTCTTATTCTTTTTCTGTTATAGAAAACCTCAAGGATTCGCAATAATGAGGAATATTTCAAATCTGAGGCTAGATCTCCGCGCACTGAGAGAAACTGGATATTAAAAATATCTACCAGCTCTGATTGTAATAACCATTATGAGGAAATTTCCTATTCCTGATCATTTTATTATTACAACAGTATTCTCTCCATTCTGTAATTATAAAAATCGATTTCTTAAATCATTTGTAATACCCTTGAATGGACATTTGCTACCATCATAACGCAGGTGTGTTATGACATTATGAGAATTGAGAATTTTATAAATTCCAGTCTATTTAGATTTTTTATTGACATAGCTCGTTTTGTGAATTATGCTCATTGGTGAATTCAGATAATGTTTGTCCCAATAATCATAGCTGTTTGGGTTTTTAGCATTGTACGTTGACGAATAACTCTAGCAATTCACATGTATGACAGTTATTAGGCAATCATTCGACAATCGTAATTCGGCTCATTTCGCTCTAGTGTTTCATTAGAATTGGGACTGACAAAGATACAGATCGCGTTCATTTCACTGCTGTTCTCGGTCATGGGTGCCCGTGTTCAATTATTGTTCAATGGTTTCGATCGTCCGAATCGATAAAGCCGTGTCTTGTAGGTGAATGTCTGTGATGTAGCAAAGTTTTGTTTTAGTGCTGGCTGTGAATAACCGATCTGTGGAACACACCGTGCATTGCATTATTGCAATGAAAAAAGTATTCTCCATACCCACTTTTCATGGCCTAAAATTGGTTTATTTCAAAAACGAAATGATCGATGGGATTCTGAATCAAAATATCTGGGTTTCTGTGAGGGAATTTTTATTGACAATTCTCATCATAACTCCGAAGGAAGGGTAAATATAAGTATTCAACTGCTCATTTCTTAATAAATTCGTCAGTAATGCATATAGATGATATTTCTCCGAAAAATCAATGAGTAATGTCAAAAAACTTCCACAGATACCCAAATATTTCAATTCAGAGACTAAACTTATTTTTTTGTTTTTTTGAAAACAATAACTTTGGATCATGAAAAGTGATAGTGTGGATAGGATATTTATTTCCATTGCAGTAATTCAAAGCACGGTTTCATAATGCATACTATCGAATAATGTTGATTAGATAACCTTATTATCACCGTTTGATGAATATACTAGAGTAGAAAAATATTGGGATAACTGTTGAAATGAGCTATATTACAATAGCATGTCAAAATGTCAGGTTTCATGCAGATATCAGATAACTATAATAAAATGAGACATATTACTGCGTTACCTACCTCAAGATGGTTGTGCCAGTAATAAAAACATGCTGTTTTATGTCGATAGTCTAATAACCACTGTAGAGTGGAGAGTTACTGCAACATTTTATGGGAATAATTCCTATTCGACATTCTGTGTTATCATAGAAACTAGAACAAGTAGTAGTTATTCAGCAGCGGTGTTTCAATACAAGTTTGCAAATTGAATAAGCTGCCATAACTACAAGTCACCTGAAAATTCACTTCATCTATGGTAGCAAATGAACACATCTGTCCCCTATTCATTGCAGATATCGTAATAACGGTTATCAGATTTCCAATTATGATAACTCAAGTTTTCTCTCAGTGCGATATCTTTCGGATGACTTCAGAGAGTATTTCCCATGGTGACAGCCAATAGTGATCTTTGGCAACTCGCAGGAGGATTTCGCATTTCGAACCTGAAGATAACTACTTAGAGATATCGCGGAGAGTTCCGTGTAACCTGGGATGGGGTTAACATCCAAACCTACGCTGATACTCTTAGAATACATCTAGAGAAAACGTATTTGCCTGGTTTGTGATGTCATACTCAATTACTTTTTGACATCATTAAATTCCCAACAGCCAGTGAAAAATATGCTCAACCATATAATCAAGATTTGCTTGGAATAATTTTCGCATCTAACTTCATGTTTTAGAATTATCATCGACAAGGAAGAAATCGATCTTGTTTCTTGAAAGTCAGTCGACAAGAGGTTGATTTTTATGGCGAAAAATTTTAAAAGAATATGAAAAGTCATTTGGTGTTCGTATATACTCCTCTGTAGTAATTGGATCAGCTGAAAAGACTGTGACAGGTCTGAGAATCAAGCCTCATTACCAAACATTGAATATCACATTGGAGATATCACGAAATTGATGACAAACTGTTTACATTACCGAACCTGAATCTAGGAAACGAAACGTTCATTTTGGGTTCCTCTCAATTAGGTTCCTTATTTTTGATTAAATCCGCTCCTTTCCTTCTGGCTACATTTTCAGCAGAAATTCATATAGTGATAACAAGAATATATATCATTTCGACATGAAGAACAATTCCGAGCCATTTTTATGGGACTTCTAGAAGAGTAACTAGATGTAGTTTGAAGCTCTCAACAAAATCACCCTCTTCATTAAATACATTTTGGAGGCAAGCGATGCGGTACTTAAATTTTTACACAATGGTTTTTCGGCCTGCAAGTTTTCGATATACCGATACGAATTCGAATTCCATTCGAATTTTTTTCATGACTTCATAACATTCTGTCTATCTCTTTATATAATACATATACCTACCTCTCCAACGGTTATCTATTACGCCAACCTCGCAAATTCATTAATCGCAAAAAAAGGAATCTACTTACACCTAAAACGTATCTGGACTCATCTATTTCGTCTCGATATACGGAAACAAGGTAAAATACCCCGAAGTTGACTCCCATCTCTCTGAGTTTATGCACAACCGCTAACCAATCAAAATCATCTTCCTGCCAATTATTCTCGAGCAGGGTTGGCCAGCCGCCGATCCGTTCTAGAATTTCCTTTATCTTTTTTAATCCTGCTGCGTCGATCGCAGACTCGTTCATGCAAGCTCGATAAAATTTCTTTGCTGTATCCAAGGATTTCGGGCTTTCCTGTCGTATCGGCTGCTCTAATATATTTCTAATTTCGGAATGAATCTCGTCCTCGATAAAATTCTGGACGGATATGAAACCGCGATTATCCAGGTCGGTGTGCTGCAGAAAACTGCCGCAGGCAAATCGATAGAAGTCTTCACAGGGATCAACTTTTGTGTCGATAAGCTTCAAAAGATCTGTTGCTGTACGCACGCAGGGAACTGACGTACATACTTCTATTTTCACTGAAAAAAAAAGACAACATGTCATACAGAATATCCAAAGGTGAGTTGATTGCTTGATGAGTAGATTATTCGAATATTCTTGAGAGTACCTTGTTTAACAGCAATAATAAAAAGATCATTTGAATATCGTGGATATCATTCAAACACTGGTCAAGAGTTTTTGATACAGAAGCAGGTATTAACCGGTGGAGTATCATCGAATCCTGGTGAATTTCATTTCTGTATTTTCTGAATGATATCAATAGGCAGATAATGATCATTCCGAGTCGATTGAATATGATTCAGAGATAAAAGTATTTTATCATCCAAAATTACTGATCGAGTCATCCTTGATATCTTCACTTTCTTTCAGAGCTTTCTGTGGAGTAATGATATCTACTTTATAACAACTTCCAGGATCTTGAATCAGATCAATAAGGTGTTTCTGTGTGTCCGTAGTGAGCATCGGTCGCAACTGCACCGAATGTATTATAAAAAAATGTCATAAACCAATATTCGAGGCAATTATTTGAACAACGAAAATGTCGGTACAACCAAGATTCTCATGCGAATGAGTTGAGGGTACATTGTTCATCATCTGATGTTCATGAATTGGTTCGGAACAAACGCAAAAAATAATTTTCAGTATTTCTGATTCACACGAGACCATGAAAGTCTCGTCTCGCCGATGAACTATGAAGTCTTGTCTCGAGTCTCGTCTCGCAGCCTGGAGTCTCGTCTTGTCTCGCGTCTCGTAAGAGAGTCTCGCAAATGTACCGCAATTACGTCATGCATAATCTTGTTCCAGTCTAGTACGAGATATTTACCTTCACCTACTTTTTTGGTGTAATGTAGAAGTAGGAAGAGAAAATTACGACAATATTAACATTATTTATTGGAAAGTAAGTACCTAATAGGTACATACTCACATCATACATCTAAACAAGAGAAAAAAACATAGCATTATATATTCGAAAGTTACGAAAATGAAATAAAAAGTAACACGTATATTCTTTACGAATAAACAAAAAAAAACTTTAATCCAACATTATTTTTCTTATGAAATAGGTATCTCAGATAAAAACCTTCATCAGTCAGATCAGCCTTTACGATCACAAATGTTTTTGTTTTTCACCCAGTCGATGAGACATAAAGTTATTCTTTACCCTAGACTATTTAGCACATAATGACTTATTTATAGATTTTCAGGTAGTCATTCAATTTGCGATATGTCGTTATTGCAGAATTGCCTTTATATTCTGCCGCCGTAAGAGAGAGAATAGTCCGTTATCATTTCACGCATTACGTCGTTTTACAACAATCATGGATTGTGTTTTCAAAGTATTCATGAATGAAATGTTTTATCTATCTGTGCTAAATAGTCTGAATTATATCTAAATATGTTGTATTATAAATAAAATTCTCAAGTTTGCAGTAGGCACGCAGAAATATTTACCTGCGAGACTCTCGCACGAGACACGAGAAGTCATGCACGAGACTCGAGACGAGATCAATGAAAGTCTCGTCTCGTCTTGTCCGAGTCTCGTCTCGAGTCTTGTCTCGAAATCGAAAACGAGACGAGATCATGCGAGACTCTCGAAAACGAGACTCTCGCGGGCACCACTAAGTTGGAATTAGGTATGTCTACTATACTTTCAACTATGCCAGTTCCAGTTTCACATAAGTATGTGAGACAATCCATTCGAAAATTGAACAATTTTTCCTCCGATAGTTAACACTCGAATACGGTTAACTATAGCGTTTGTTGAAACGTATTCCTTTTACACATCGTATATTTCGATTTGCAGCAACATATCTTGATTTGACAAGGTCGAAAACATCATCCACTGAGACAGTAAGTAATATGGTGAACAGAGTATATTCGATTTACTCACATGACTCAACTATTCTAAAGTATAATGCTTGGTGTTTGACATTGACAGTATAAAAAAAATCACCTGCCTACCTATAATAATCACTTTTGCTCTATATTATCCATTTGAAAAGCATTATTCATGACAGTAGACTGAATTTGAACTCAAATCTAAAATCTAATTCCTATGTATCTAAACTATTATAGTAGAGTGCCAAACGAACCGTAAATCGCTTAGATCAAAAGTTGGTGGGAAATCGGAGGTAAAAAGCTGTGACATGGCTAGAATTGTTACCTACCATCTTCAGATCATGGATCCACTTGTCGTCAAAAAATCGTCCTGTGCGTTTGGGGGGTAGGGGGTAATTTATAAAAAAATATGGATTTTTTTTTATTCGTGGAAAATATTGATGGGTTGCAGAACTTCCACCCTGTCGAATCTTGATTTCGTGTGAACAAATTATAGAAAATTTTGAAATTCACTAATTACATTAGGATATATGAGAAAATCATATTTCAAACGGCTATAACTCGAAACTTGTAAATTTTCGTTAAATTGCTTTTCATATACATCGCATTATCTCAGTAACTATAACGTTTATCGAAAAAATACTCGAAATAATGTCGATGCGCCTATGTTTCAAGATGCGAACGGTTCTTCGATTTCGAAAATCGAAGCATAAATGAGGAAGATATTAGGAAAATCATAATACAATGCAGGTAGTACGAAGGACGGCGACTCGCCGCTTTCATACCCCGATTCTCACCGCATCGCCCGCAGCCTTCCTAGTACGATCACCGTAAATATGAATTACTGAGTGTTACAGAATAGTACGATCTTGAGGGGTTTAACCCTATGAGCGATCATTGGGGAAACAAGGAACGGCAGAAATCAAAATATTGAAGCTCGCTGAATAAATTTAAGATTTTTTTTCACGGATCGTTTCTAGAAGGTTGCATCTAGGCATCTCTCGGAGTACTTTTTCAAAATTTTGAAAAAAAATAGTCGAAAAAAATTCCAGAAAATTGACCAGATTCACTATTTTTTTTCTCACTAGGTATATATATTTTTTGAAAAGTACTTCGAGAGATGCCTCACTTATACATTTATCTTCGTTGTCAAGAAAATTCGCAAGGATCCAATCAAAATATCACCATCAAAAGTGATTTTTGCTGGACCTCTGCAGATGCAATTTTGGATCATTTTTCTTCACTGATACGAGCGCCCTCAAACGAATATTCACTTCTACATGGATACTATGAATGGTTGAATGAATAGTGAATTCATTCATAAAAAGTAGCACTGAAGCTATTCAGAAAATCTTAGCACTGGAGATGAAACCAAAAGAAGTTTCAGATGGGTTGATTGAATTTTTGAACACGACGTATATAGGTACGTTTATTAGGTAACCCATATAATAAAAATACGTATGGTTTGTAGGTAGGATCCCAATTCCCATTTCAAAATGCGAATGTAAAGAATGCCAGAAGTTTCATCATATTTATTCTAGGTAATAACTGGTATTATATAATATACGAGTTACATATATTTTAATAGATAAACAGAGAAATCTCTCATTGAAGAATAATAGTTTCGCTCCAGGTGAGTCACCCAATAGAAGATTGAACATATATGTTTGGCAAGCGGCAAGCGATGGGCATAAAGGCGGTGAGCATAAAAGCGGCGGACATAAAGGGTCCGAAAATCCTGGAATTAGTGTTATACACGGGGGATTGGAATATTGTTTTTGTTCAGTTTACTTCAGTATTCCGACAGTGACATTTGCGTTTTTCAATATTTGTGCATTATTTGTGTGAGCAAAAGTTATAATGCCGAGAAGTAATTATCGAACTGGTAATGAATACCACAGAAGACAGTCTGTCAAAATATACCTCGCAATGTTGGCAAAATAAAAGGTAATCGAAATAGTGGATAGTAGATTCGAAAGGAATATGGATAGATTACAAATTGAAGTTGTTCCTGTAATATATACAGGGTGTCTCAGGTTTAGCTCGTCTAACTTTGACAATCGAAAGCAAAAATTGAAATATTATACATGTATTTTTTTGTTTTGTCGTAGAGACACTTGTTTTCTTTATACGGGGTGTTCGATGTCGCATGAGTTTTTGATTTTTATTTTTTATTTTTGTTGAAACCAAACCTAGAGATTCGATAAGCACTTTTCTATCTGTTATATATGAACTGTCCCTATCCTTCTTAGTTTCCTTGTTATTCGAAATAATGTTACACCTACTATGCATGACAATTTTATAACCTAAATGTTTATCTTACATCAAATTATATCATTCGAATTGAATATTGAATGGTTCACGTACACGAAAGATATTGAAACAAATGAAAAACACAAAGTATGGTGAGGAAATAATAATGATTTTTCATTGGCTTCGATCCACCACTAGCGTCCCAATAAAAAAAAATCTGACGAGTTCCATGTCAGAGGGCTCCACGGAAAAAAAGGATTTGTTGCATCAACAAATTATTAATGCTTGAGTTATATTTGTTGGACTGAGCAATTTTTTGTTGAATCAACCAGATACATGATTATTCCATGGAAGCAGCTTGTTCAAATCAAGAATGTAGTCTAATTGAATCAACAGTATAATATCAATTCCATTTACAAAATATATGGTTTCTTCAAGAACAAATTATGTCGATCCAAAATAATGTAGATGTTGATTCAACTGAAGATATTTCGTTGATTTGATCGAACATTGATCATTTTGATAAGAATATATCTTTGGAACAACATAGAAGTTGTCTTATTCCGATGTATCAATGAACTCGTTTCGAACGAATCATTTGCTTGAATAGAGCAACGAGATATGTAATATCAATGAAATATTTTGTTCATTCTACATCAACTTAAATTTTCGCCTCTAGATAGCGATCATTTCGCCTCGTCTATGCCTGCCTCGAGTTCATTATATACGTGAAGCCTGATTCTTCGTGTTTGAAGTATCAGCTGGATAAATCGAACTTAGGATGATTAGCAATCCGAAATAGTTTTCTATCAGCGACAGAGAAGTAAAGACTGAAGATCTATTAGTTTCCTAGTTTTGTTTATTCTGTTGAAGTGAAATTTCAGAAAATTCCCGAATATTGAATTTGGTTTAACAAAACAATTTGTCGTATGGATATATAGTTTCTCTTGAATCAACAAAATATTTCATTGAATAAACCAAATATTTCATTGAATCAACCAAATATTTCATTGGATCAACCAAATATTTCTTTGAATCAACCAAATATTTCGTTGAATCAACTAAATATTTGATGGAATCAATATCTTATTATTTTGAATCAAACAAAATGTTTGTTTGAGCCAATTCAATATCTCTTCGTGAACAATTCATGGATGTGCTTGATTGAAGAAGATCCAGAGTTCATGCAAGACAAATTCACTTGATTCAAACTTCAAATTCGCTCTGAAACAAGATATAGATTTACTCATTTCAAGATTATATTTTGTCGGGCATATATGACACTTTGCTCCATCCAATAAAATTTTGCTTGATTTGAAAGGGAGCACGACTAAATATCCAGTACAAAAATATCCTGTCGAAAAAAACCC